ATAAAAAATAAAAATACAAGGATCAAAAATATGAAAAAAATATATGAATCAATAGCAAAACACGAGTAAAATATATGGACATAAAATTATGCTTTTCCAAAATTATTAGAAAAATAAAAAATTACAATTAAGGATCCAAAAATTATAGACATTGACAAAAAAATTTGTTGGTCTTTTTTTATAATTTTTAGGCCTCTTTCTATTATTTTTTGATCAATTAAGGGTCAAAATTAATTTTTGTTGATGAGAGAAGTCAAAGGACACTGTTTTTAAAAATTAAAGAAGAGCAGTACATAAAAAATTAGTTTAGAATTTCAAATACTTTTATAGTTACAGTTTAAGGACCAATTTATTTTTTACCCCATAAACATATAACATGCTACATCATAATTTTTTTTAATCTGCTTCATCATGCTTTACTGCCATAAATATTAGATGAGATATCCGTGACAAATTGGCACAATAAATTGCACTCTTATCATGGTTCACCAAAGTATGTTGCACTTTATTAATATGGGTTGAGTCTAACAAAAAATATTAGTCTCTCTTAAATCAAGAGATAATGAATTAATATTTGAATTTCATTGAAAAAAGTACCTATATCTAATGCCAACTATAATTTGAACATAATTATTTTTCAATAAAAGAATACATGTATAACTATGTTGCAATTTTTGTAAGAAGTAATGAGTTTGATTTATTTGTAAGGAATTTGAAAGGAGTGAAATTATTTATAATTCATGAACAATATAATTTTTTTTACATTTTTTTTAAATATATTGATCGTGATTGATGCTTTTTTGTGTATATATATAAAGTGTGGATGATATGTAATTGTGTATTTGACTCCAAGTTCCAATCAGACATGGGCTATTTTTTTAATAAAAAATAAATTTAAAGATGAAGTGTTTTGTAGAAATTATTATCAATATCAATAAAAAATTTATGTATAGGTCCCTTAAAGTGAACTTATTTATAAATAAATTTTATAAAATTTAAAAACTACAATCAAGTCCTTTTAAAACTTAAATGCAATTTAAAATTGGAGTATAGAGATAATAATATCTCTATTAAAAATTCATTACATCAATTAATTAATTTATAATTATTTTATTATTAATTTATAATTATCACCTCAACTTTTTACAATTATAACTTTATATATCTAATTGTTAAATTAATCATGTTTTGCATGCTTAATACTAATTAAATAGAACTATCTCATTAATAATTTACATATATCACTTCAACAAATTATAACTACAATATCATATATTTAATAGTTAAATCATTCAAGTATTATTAATAAACTTTAACGCTCATTGTTTACAATTATCCCACTAAAAATTTATAATTATTATTTTAATATTTTACAAATGTAATTTTACATATGTAATTGTTAAACTTAAGAAGTAAGGGTGTTATTATTTTTATATTATAATTTCAAATTACACATGAATTCTAAAAAATCAGCCTAACAGTTTTTAAATTTCGCAAGACTCGCGAGAGTTATACATAATTTTTCATATCAATACATATAACAAAGCATAATGTTGATATATAGTCAATGTAAAAGGCAAACACCGGTCTATTTAGGGGGCCCATCCAGGTGGCGCAATGCAATCAAAGATTAATATTATGAGAAAGTGAAAATTTGATTAAGACTGAGAAATTCTTCTATGAATTTGGTTTATCACATTATTTATGTTCTATTTAATAAAAACTTATCTAGTTAGGTGAATATAAATGTAAATTGATTATGCCATTGATAACAATAAAACAAAAAAAGATAAGAAATTAAAGAAGTACTCTATTCTTAAAAAAAAGTCATAAAAAATAACGACATATTCTCTTCATTAAAAAATATAATGTATTTTTCAAACGGTTGGATATTTAAAAATATAAAGTATTTTTAATCTTTATAAGTATAATTATTCTTTTTTTTAATTGCCCCTATTAAATAAATTACTTTATATTTATTTTACAATGAAATAACCTATTAAATATGGATAAATATAAAAATATAGGGTTAATTTAAAAATAAGTAACCACTTTATTAAGATAAGATTTAGTTAAAAATACTTTATATTTTTTAACAAAGAGAGTACAACATTTTATTTGGTTGAATTGGTACTCCCTCCGTTTTTATATACTCCATCTGTTTCTATATATAAGATAATTTTAATTAAATCTCTCAAACTAATAAATATTTATTATTTAGTTAAAATCATATAAAAATACAATAATTTTTTAATTTTATCCCTAATAGTATCATAATTAATACTATGATAGTGGTGGAGAAAATATACAATTAATGATCTATTTTATTTTTCAATACAAGGGTAAAATTGTTTAATTATTTAAAAATATCATTGCTACCCTTTATATTTAAGGTCAAAATAAGTTTTTAGAAAATACCTTATATATAAGTACAGAGGAAGTATAAGAGAAAAAAATTATATTACATAGTTTAAGAAAGTTAATCAACCATAATAATTATATCTGAAAATAAAAAATTAGATAAAAATGTTCTATATTAATCAATACAAGCATGCATTAATTATTTCTCATTAATGTAAATTACAAGGGGTGATTTAGAAAATTTATAATAAATATTTATTGAAATAGGTGATTTTATTTATATAAAAAATAAATAAAAAGTGATAGTTTCTCTTACAAATAAAAATAAAAGGAGTACAATTCTATTAGACAAAGCATGCAAAATATGATGCATTAGACCCATGCAAAAATTTCTCAATTGAAAATACTTGTGTGGGCCCCCATGGACCATCTCCTGTGTCTAAATAGTTTTTCTTTTGCAAAAAATTATTCTATAAATAATTAAATGTATATTCTTTAAATTTATTTTTCATACTTAAATTCTAAATTTATTTATTTGGTTTTTAATTAATTTTTAGTCTTCGAATTCGAATTTTTTAAAAAGTCTAAGTTTGTATATACTTGTTATAATTATATTCATATTCAAATCTCTCAAATCAATAATTTATGAAATATTTATCTGGCGACTTCTTAATTGATATGAATTTGTATTAATTAAATTGATGATCAAGCCCCTGAGTAGGTAGTTAATTGTTCACAAAATTGACTCATTATAATTTTACTTTTCATGAGGTCGACTCTCAAGAACAAAACCTTGTAATTTGAGTTTAGATGCCGTAACAATGTTATTTTCGCACAGGATTAAATCTTGTTAGTTTAAAGTAACAAAAATTATATGCGAAAATAAATAAAGGTTAAAAAAATAACCAAATTATTAGCTGATTAATCCAGAATGTAATTGGGTCAGGCCCAAAGTCCAACTCAGTTATTTCTTATTACTGAAATGAAGGTGGTGTTGGGCTCTTCATGGCACTTTATACCTTGTGTCGTTATACAAACCCATTTTCACGGTTGATACAATAGAAAAACCATTTTCACGAGTTCCTTTTGTGACAATAATAATCAATCTTGGAGGGATTGGTTGCACTAATAAAAATATGAGCGATTCGAATCAATTTATCTTAAAATTTCATATTCTAGTGAAATATGTATCCATATTTTGGTAAAAAAAAATGTATCCATAATAAATAAAACTACTAAAAACATTCTTGAGGTACCTATGATTTTGTAGGACTTGTATTCATATATTTCGTGAAATAAAAAAAGAAACTGAAATTTGAAAAAAAAAAAGTCAAAAACAATGCGTTGCATGAAAACCTGACATTTTATTTTTAGACGGACTATTATTTTTAATTTATTATATGCGTCTATTACTGTAAATGGACAAGATTTAAATTTGTTTAAAGGAAGATTGACAAATAAATACCTCAAAATATAAAATTGATAATTTGGTCTCTCAAAATGTAATAATATCTTCTAAGTTTCAAATGACCTAATTGTTATTGAAAAATTTTATAAAATGACAAAAGTATCTTTTAATTTAAAAAAGTGTAACAATTTTTTTATATTTCACAACTCTAATTTATCAAATGACTAAAGTGTTTTAAGTATTTACAATTTTTTCTCACCATTTTTATTCAATGAGCAAACTGCAACAAAAAATTTTAAAATTTACAATTCTAACTTAGTAAATGATTAAAATGATTTAAGCATTTGCAACTTTTTATCACATTTTTTCTTCAATTAACAGAGTGTAGCAATTTTTTTTTTACAACTTCAGATATGAAATTTATAAGTCTGGTTTAATAAATAACCAAAATGGTTTCAACATTCACAAGTTTTGTTTTATCATTTTTCTTTACTTTCTTAAAATTAAGGGGTATTTTTATTATCTCATCAACACGGTAATGACAATTAGGTTTTCTGGAACTTTTTCACAAAATCAAATTGTCATTTTTTTAATTTTGGAGAAATTTATTTTTCATTGTACCATATTTAAATAAACACCCCAAAGATTTTTTTAATTTTGAAAAATTGAAAACAATACGAGAAAACAATTGGCAATGGATTGAGACAACATGCTGTCCCAAAACACTGCCATATCTTCTTCCATAATTGATGATTCCTAAAAAGCCCACATCTTACATCCTCTTCAAAAAAATTGTCAATTTACAGAAAATTGCATTTGAAGTAACAATTCTTCGAAACAACATCAATAATAAATAAAAAATTATACTATTTTAAATACCAGTCCTTTTTATTTCGTGAAAAATGTTTATATAGTTTTGATGGCAAGCTTTCTTTCATTTTGGTAAAAAAGTCTTTTCACATTAAAACTAATTGATAGATAGTAAATCCCTGGAAACTATATAGAAAATAATTATCACATTTTGTAATACGTAATTGTCATTTGCATATTTTGATGATATCTTCCAATCATTCTTCCTTTTTTTAATACATATTTAAAGTAGTTTTATTATTTATAAAGTTTAGGTGAGTTGGGTTTTAAAGACTATCAGAGTTATAACATTTACTCAAATTTAAAGAATACTTATAAAGATACTTACATATCGCCTATCAATAATATATTTTTATTGACAATGAGATTTGAACTTATGACTTTGTAAGTTATAGGTTGAATCCTTATTAACTGGACTAATTCTTTTATAGGCAAAATTTAATAATTTACAGCAATTATTATCATATTTATGTTAATTTTTTTAAAAAGTTATATTTTAACATCAACTAATTAACTTTTTATTATCCTTAAGAATAATTAACTATAATTATTCCGTACATTGAACGATGTTCATCTCCCACATCACCCGGCAACTTCAGAAACTGGGTTAACTTCGTGGACATAAACAAAGCTCCGATGATCCCAACTATACTTAATATTAACAGTTTCATGCCAGCTAAATCGTCGAAATCGATGCACAAGACATATCTTATCCTCTTTCCATAATTAAGAATCGACCACACGCGACATACTCTGTGATCAATTCGAGGTATAGCTTACCTTCACGAATTTCTCGTTCCATTTGCTGTCAAAAAACCAAACCAAAATCATGTAATTCCCGACAACATCGTCCTTCACTTTCACCGTGTTCTTAACCAGCAAAAACCTTTTCTTCGTTCCCCTCCTCCTTCTTCATGTCTTCATCGTGGTGTCTGGCCAAGCACAAGGTGGGTTTTCAGAATCTGAGCCGTTCTTCAGTTTCATCAGAGCCATTGATCCCCAGAACGTTCTTCACATTAATGGCTCATTTTCTTCATCTGCGAGAACTTCACATCTCTGCATGATGAAGCTGAAGGGTGTTAGATGCGACTCTGAAGGTACCAACATTGTAGAGATTAGGCTAGAAAGCCTGAATCTCACTGGAACAATCGATGCAGAATCTCTGTGCAGGCTTAAGAAGCTTAGGGTTTTGAGCTTAGCTGCGAATAATATCAGAGGCAATGTTCCGAACTCAATTCTGCACTGTGCTAGCTTGTGTTATCTGAATCTTTCAAGCAATCATTTGAATGGGAGAATACCCAGAGGCTTAACGAAACTGAAGTTTCTGAGAACATTGGACATCTCAAACAATAATTTTCTAGGAAAGATGAACTTAAGTCATTTGTTTGCTGATTCGTTGAATGAAGAAGCTGTAATGCAATCAATGGTGGATCCTCCTCTTACCAGTAATATTTCTCAATCTAATAATGATGAAGGAGACAATTTCTCGATCCTATATGTTTTGGTCATTGGAATAATGTTGTTATTCTTGAGTTTTTACTTTGCAAGCATTAAGGTTGGGGAAAAAAGTGCAGATCATGATAATAATGATGATGATAAGACATTGAAGAGCATTGAGCAATTTGATCATGCCATCAGAAAGGCTAAAATAACTGAGGTCAAAGAAGAAGAAGACATGATGATGATGAAGCTGAAGAAAAGAGATCATATTCATACAGATGACCAGCTTGTATTCTTTGAAGAGAATGAGAGATTCACAATGGAGGATCTTCTTGGAGCCAGTGCTGACTTAAGAAGCGAAAGCTTCTGCAGCTGTCTCTATAAGATAAAAACTGAAGAATAATGATGGCGAGTATGCAGTGAAGAGATTGAAGAATTTGCAGATATCCTCAGATGAGTTCAGTAAAACAATGAGGAAGATAAGCATGTTCAAGCATCCTAATATCCTTCCCCTTGTTGCCTACCGTTCTACCAGTGAAGAAAAACTCATCATTTACAGGCACCAGAGCAATGGAAGTCTGCTAAATCTTTTCAAGGGTGAGTTCACACTAATTTTTGAAACATGTTATATCTGCACATTTCCAATAGAATCATCTCATCTCAACATTAATCATAAAAGCTTAAATGGAGTGGCTTTCTTAAGCTAGTTTAAAGATTGATCAAAGGTGTGCGTGGATAGAGGTTTGGGATTAGGTTTCGTTCCTGGTGCCTCCCTTCTGGTCTTCCTCCATGATAGGTGGGTTTGAAAAAAAAAACAAAGAGAAAAAGAAACAAAAACTTCCTAACGTGAGTGCAAGAGGGAGATCAGAAAGGAAGCGCAAGGAGACAAGCTTGCAACTTGCAAGTCTAGAGGTTAGGGTTCAAATCTTCCTGATATCCCGTTTAGATAGTATTTCTTAAAATCTCAAATATGTTTTTGGTTCAATATTCGAGAGAAACGTCGTGAGAAGCAAAGTAAATAAGGTTTTGAAAGTCTATGATAAATTCATCATCATCTAACTGTGACGATTCAGGCAAAAAAAAAAAATCGTGACGATACTTTTTCAATATGAATTTTACCATCCATGAAGTTTGAAACCATGATCTAAATGTAATAAGCCTTAATAATACCTTCCACTCCACTCAATCACTCTTGGCCCGCTTTTAAGTCTTCTTCTTTTGTTTCTGTTTCAGACTATCTTGAAGGCAGAAGATATTTTCCATGGAAACTGAGGCTATCTATAGCACGAGGGATAGCAAGAGGATTAGCATGCTTGCACCAGAAAGTGAAAGAACAAGACACAACAATTCCACATGGGAATCTGAAACTATCAAATATCCTTCTCAGTGACAACAACAATGAACCACTTATAAGCGAGCATGGACTATCAAATTTGTTCCTAGACACAACAACCAGACTGTTCTTCATTTTGGGGCTGGCATACACAGCCCCAGAGAAGAGTCTATCAGAGAAGGCTAATGTTTATAGCTTTGGAGTAATCTTGTTAGAACTACTCACAGGAAAGAGCATAGAACTGAGCAGAATAGATCTCACAAAGTGGGTCAGATCCATGGTGAAGGAGGAGTGGACTGTGGAAGTGTTTGACAAAGAGGTTAGGGAAGATGAGTATCAGTGGGCATTTCCTGTGCTAAACGTGGCCCTCATGCGCGTTTTAAGTCTCCCAGAAACTCGACCTTCCATGGAAGAGTCGGTGAAGATGATAGAGGAAGTGATGAAGGAGAGAGAAGAAAATGATAATAATAAGAATGTTTCAACAACGGTAGCTTGCTGCCCTATTGGATCCAACCAGCATGAAGCTTGTTGCTCGCTTCATAAGATCATTCCTGATATGTGGGATTCTCCAGGATCAAATTATTGAGTTTTGAGTCTCCAGCTTCTTCTTCTTCTTCTACTTCACGCAAAGCATGTGCTTGCCTGCATTTTTAAATCTGATCATATATATAAGTACATAACCAAGTTAGTGATTATTGCAATATTTGACATATGAGATATCAGATATCTACGGTATAAAAGTGACGTATTTTGGTTAGTTTCATCTATATATATATATATATATATAAATTTGATCCTTTTCATAGTTCACATAGTATTAAGTGTTTGATGAATTATAAGATTTTTTAACTTGCTTTGATGGGTCACAATTTTTTTATACTCATTCCTTACAAATGCGCTCCCTGATGCCATGCGCTTGTGAAGAGAATGATCATCTTTGAATTAACTAACCCATCTTGTCTAGGGAGAATGATAGAGAGATTTCAAAAAGATTAATTAATTTAAATTAGATTTTAAGTATCAAATTTTAATAATTTTCAACTCAATCTCTCAATTTTATAACTTCATTGTAATGAATTTGCAATTTGTATTTCAAATTTTAGCAGAAAAATATTTTGTTATTTTTCGACCATGTTAAAATTTAAAAAATTAAATTATAAATTCACCACGATACAGTTATAAAATTGAGAGATTGAATTGTAAATTTATAAAGTTTGACACTTAAAATTTAATTTAAATTAATTGATCCTTTTGGGACTTCTTTGTCGTTCTCCCTTCTGTCTATTTAATTTATTCACAATGTTATGCACTCTCTCCATTTTAATGTGATGAACGTTTTATATTTTTCATTATGTTTTGAAAATATTATTTTCTTCAAGACTCCAGTGGAATATAAATTACTCTTTTTTATAATTACCCGTTTTTAATTGTTAATTTATTAGGGAAAGAGATAATATTTAAGAGATGATTAGATATTGATATTACGAGTAATTTTGTTAAATACACTTCAAATGTTTTACCATCTAAACTATTCAAAAGCTTTTTTTAGTCTACATATACTAAAAAGACAGGGAGAATGACAGAGATATCTTAAGGAGATTAATTAATTTAAATTAAGTCTTAAATGTCAAAGTTCAAAAATTTACAAGTTCGGCTCTCAATTTTATAATTTTATTGTAATAAATTTGTAATTTATATTTTAAATTTTAATAAAAAAATAAATTTATTTATTCTTTAATCATGTTAAGATTTAAAAAATAAGTTACAAATTCATCACATAAGTTGCAAAGTTAAAAAAATGAATTTAAAAATCCATGAAGTTTGGTATTTGAAACTTAATTTAAATTAATTAATCTTTTTAAAACCTATTTATCATTCTCCCAAAATGGTATCCCCTTAACTTCATCTTCTGGTTCTCGTCCCTACTTTTGATTTGAATTATTTAGATTAAATTTAGACATTTTAAGTTAAATATTTCATAAAAAATAAAATAACAGTTAGATATAAAAAAGTAAATAAACCTGAAGTGTCAAAATTCAATAAGAGAAATTCAAAGCAAAATGGAAGTGAGAGAAAATGTATTCCTGTACATTATTATTTTTTATTGCCAGAATTAATCCTGTACATTACTTTGAACATCAATCAAATCAGTATATGTAAAATACAATTTATAATAAACATATCATTATAAGTTATGAATAATGCAATTTATTTTTATATATTTTTACATAATACTTGAGAACGTGTCTAATTATTTTTTTGAAAAATATTATATACAATTAATTTATGCCTAAAAAAATATCCACATTCCATGCCCACTTGAACACATGATGAAACACAAACATACAAACAAAAAGCTACCCAATTAGGCTTTTAAAACAGCCTTTTAAGTGATTTCTCCAGCAACCACCCAACCCTCCTCTTGAAGAAATTCTGGTGGGAACATGGTCCACTTGCATACAATAATAAAGTTCTTATTTTTTTAATTCACCAAAAAAAAAGTTTTTATTTTTTATTTTTATTTGGTTGCTTGTAGATGTGTTGATTAATAAGAAGTATCTATCTCCTTCCACCTGAGCTGTTAAATTAAATGTCATTGGAATCAACTTTGCTTATCCTTTTCATGAAATGCCTCTCCCTCTCACACTTTGACAGAAATTCATTGTTATATAAATATGTATATCACAAGAATTTGATGGCCTAGAATACAAGCATCTCTACTGTATTTTTTCTTCAATTCTCTTTAAAAAAAAACACTTAAAAGAAAGAACACATGCTTGACTGTGACACCACCTCAACATATATAAGTCAATAATAATATATATTGACTGATCACTTGTTCTTGAAAATTTAATTTCTAACTAAGTTTGCCATTGCTTTTATTCTGTCTTTTTTGAGCTTTTCTTTAATAATTGAGTCCTTTAATTGCAAAACAAGCCCTTTAGACAAGATCTATCATTATTATTATTCTTATTGTTTTTTTTGTAATGTTGTTTGTTTTGTTTTTTTTTATAAATATAAACGAGACATGAGTAAAAATATTTAAAATAAACTATATTTTACTTTATTTTATCACCTGTGAACATTACATCTTATTAGTTATTATAGATTTTAGTACAACTACATAGATTTAGAAATTTTCGATGACATAGGCTCAATAATGTCTCTTACAGAAATACCAAATCTTACATTTTATTACATTTTTTGGGAATTTTGTAAGGATATCCTTGCCCCAAGTTGACAGAAGATTGCTCGTTTCAATCACATAATTTATATTTCAATGAAAAAGCTTCAACAAATGAGCACTTGAAAAATGTGTTGCAGTTTGAGTTACTTGACCATAATGAATTATCACAAGTACATTTTTGGTTAAACAAACTAATTTAACTGCTAAAATTAACAAAGGTATAAACTATATTAATGTCTTGGAATATTTTGAGAAGAACATTGCATCATTTAATAATTCAAAATTTTCGGTGCTTGCTAGAGAACAATTTAAAGGAAACACACAAAAAAAAAAAGTTCTTTAATCCTATTATATATGCGCATGACTATGTATGTGTGTGTGCGTATCATGCATCGATTGTAATTATATATAGTCTTTACATTTATGAAAAATATAAGTAATTGATTAGATTAAGAAAGTTTATCTTTCATGACATTTTGAATAAATTAAGAATTGATGGAATTAAAGAATTCTGAAAATTCAATGCCACACTAAAAGATTTAATTGACAGTATGTTTTTGAAGAGAAATGATCATAATGCTCTTGTTTATGAATATCATATATCCCAAGTGGAATTTTTCTTAATACGAAAAACTTATAAACTTAATCATATGTATGTAAGGTATTTGTTTCTAATCAAATTAAGACATGTAAAAATCATTTAAATATTATTTATTTTACAACAAAATCTTATTATTAATATTATAAACACATTAAAATCCATTTACTCTAATTTAATTGAATAAAAATAAATTAAATATATAAGATTAACTACTTGAATCATGTTCTCTCTTAATAATGTGCGGAGAAGGTAAAGCACCACAAAAGGGATTAGATTTTCTTTCAGTTTTTTTTTTTAACATAGAAATTTCATCAGTTCAATGCTACCGATTCAATCATATTAGATGCACACATTATTCTCTCACAAAAAAAAAAATGCACAGATTATCCAATGTCTTCAATCAAAGCCAATTTTCAAATATTATGAAAAAATTTTAAGAGTTATAAAACAAAAAATAAATAGCAATTAGTGTTTTTTTATAAAAAAATTGTCTTTGTTTTTTTAATTAAAACTTCAATTTCTCTGTCCGTAAGGTCACTTACCAAAATTCGAATTATTAAAAAAATAAAACTCTAATTTTATTCTGACTATGAATAAATGACTATGTTTTTTAAATAAAAGAAAATATCATCATCTGCTGTCATCTCTTGCTCCTCCTCCTCCTCCAAATATTCTTACACCAGACGATTTGCAGTCTCTCTATTTATATATCGTCTCCTTCTCATGTTAGCTGCCATTTCTATCTCTGTTTATTATTTTCCTTTTGATTTAATTGAGGGGCGGTGGTATCACCAACGAAGAGATAAAAAGCAAGGGACAGGCTTTCGATGGAGGATGAGCGCATCCTCTGTTTTCCTTCTTAGTTTTCCCTTACATTGAAAATTTTTTCACAGATTTTTCTCATCCGTAACTGGTAAATTGATATCTGTGTTTGCTTCATTTTTCGTCGATCTCTTGACCCTTTGTAGTTTCGTCTTTGATCCATAAAAATTCATTTGCTTTGGTTTTTCTCCTTCTGATTCCAGATAATCTGATTCTTCTTTTGATTGATGCACGAAAGATCCGATGTTCTTAGATCGACTTTGACAAAACCCACTTCGTTTCTGATCGAAGCTCCATCTGGGTTCTGTCTGAATTTAAAGTTAAGGAGTATCTTCTCAGATTTTCTTCATCTGCATTCTTGATCGCTTTGCGATTTTCAAGCAGGTGAATATTGAATTTTTCTTCGCAGACTGAGCTTAATTATTTATCATCCGTTAAAAAATTTAATTAAATTGTTTCTGTGTCTGGATTTTTTCGCCATCATTGAATTATTTAGTCATCCTTATGGAATTGTGGTCACTTCTTGGTGAACCATGAGAATTTTGATCCAAAATCATTGCTTGTTTGAATTCGTACGAACTTAGTATGGAAATCTGTTATTGATAGCTGAATGGTCATGCTTGGCAGAAGAACAGATGGAATCAGATCTTGGCAAGCTTTTCATTGGAGGAATTTCTTGGGATACTGATGAAGAACGACTCAGAGAATATTTTGGGAAATATGGAGAGGTGATAGAGGCTGTGATAATGAGAGATCGCACCACAGGTCGTGCTCGTGGTTTTGGCTTTGTAGTGTTTGCTGATCCTGCAGTTGCAGAAAGAGTCATTTTGGAAAAGCACATGATTGATGGTCGCACAGTGAGTTAGTTAATCGTGGATATATATACATATGTGCAGTGATAGGACTCACCAAAGTTTTCGTTACAAATGACGACATAATCTTTGTACTTTAGTTCTAATCTGTTGATGATATAAAT